GCGCCTGGGTGGCTCAGTCGTTGGGCGTCTGCCTTCGGTTCAGGTCATGATCCCAGGGTCCTGGGATCAAGCCCCACATCTGGCTCCCTGCTCAGCAGGGGGACTGCTTCTCCCTCTGCCCCTCCCCCTGCTCGTGCTCTCTCTCTCTATCTCATTCTCTCTCTCAAATAAATAAATAAATAATCTTTAAAAAAAAAAAAAAAAAGACTGAGAAGGGTGGAACCTAGCAATGGACTCACACCGCCCCTACCCCAGCCACCTTCCCTTTTGCTTGTTTTCTGTCCTCAGGACCCATCTGGTGAGCATAGATCAAGACACATACAGGTAAGGAGATGGAGGCAGGCTGTCATCTTGGGGGAGGGAGAAGGATTAAGTTTAATGCTCTAATAATCCTAATGAGGCTCCAGTTTCTTTAATCCTGGGGTTATTAAGGTCTGTCTCCTTGAAGGAAAGGGAAGAGAGGGCGAGGAGAAAGGACGAAAAGCACAAAGGTGTCAAATAGATATCCTACCTTCCTGAGTCACTTATCCTGAAGAGAAAAACTGAGGCAGAGAGGAGTGTGGGACAGACCTTACAAAACACTTGATCTCAGGAGCGTGTCCCCAACCTCCATTCCATTTTCTGAATTCCCTTTAAAAACCCGTTACCTCAAACGCCTCCATTTCTCCCTGACAGCGTTCTGCAGATATTTAAGAGTGAGTCCCATCCCTCAGTGTACAAAGTGGCCAGCGGACTGAAGGAGGGGCTCAGCCTCTTTGGTGGGTATGCCCCTTCCCTCATCCCACACTATGAAAGCCTGCCAGAAAAGCAGCTGCCTCCAAACATGTGTCCCAGCCCCTCTCTTCCCTCTTCACTCCCACTGCCAGATGTCTCTTACACTCCCATCAGCTCGCTCGCGCTCTCTCTCTCTTTTTTTTTTTAAGATTTTATTTATTTGACAGAGAGAGAGGCAGCGAGAGCAGGAACACAAGCAGGGGGAGTAGGAGAGGGAGAAGCAGGCTTCCTGGCAAGCAGGGAGCCCGATGTGGGGCTTGATCCCAGGACCCCAGGATCATGACCTGAGCCGAAGGCAGATGCTTAACGACTGAGCCACCCAGGCGCCCCTCCATCCAATTCTCTTATCCTCTTTGTACCCTCCCTGAGCTTGGCATCTCCCCTCGCCCACAGTTGTCCAGTGTCATTTGCCTATCATCTCTGACTTTACCAATTCCATGTTCATTCCTTGGGCTTACATGGATGTTTCTGCTAGTCGTGCACCTGTCCAGGGACTTGGGGAGGCCCTATGTATAACTGCCTAACTGCCTGTGTTTTATTGGCATTGAGTCTTTATCAGTTGTCTCTGGCTTTAGGGTATAGTCGGGACATCGCCCCAAGTATCCACATGGTTTCACTGTGCATATCTCGGTGGATTGTGTCTAATGTATACATATATGTGTTGGGCTCTTTGTGATTCCAACTACAACCACTCTGTATTTTTCTGGCCAACTGTTCATGGGAGTGCCCATCCCTCCCCTAAGCCCATGTAAGGTAATCCTGGCTCAGACCTGTGGCCAGGCGCTGGCTTTAGCTGCCTTTGTGTCCTGTATCCAGGGAACGCCCCCAGGCCAGCCTGCCCAACACCCGAACCTCTGGCCCGGATGCCTCAGTTTAGACACATCCACACATTCCTTTCCCTGCCCCTGCCTTGTAACAAGCTTACTCCCTGCCCCTGCTCCTCCCCACAGGAATCCTCAACAGATGCCGTTGTAAGTGGGGAGAGAAGCTGCTCAGGTGAGTCTCACGGACATGCCACAGGCTCATGCATGCAGTCTACAGGCACATGCACACTCCATCCGGTAGTAATAAAAACAACTGCCCTTTCCCAAATGCTGGCTAAATGCATTTAATCCTTACAACAACCCCATGTGGTAGCTAGTATTATCCTCATTTGATGTCAGCACAGATACCCATATGCCCATTGATGATACAGACTGGCACACACAAAAGCAGCAGAAACAGTCACAAAACACTAATGCACACATGGCAATATCTTTTTTTTAATTGAAGTGTAGTTGACATACAATATATTAGTTTCAGGTGTACAACATAGTGATTCAACGTTTATGTACATTATGAAGTGATCACCACGATAAATCTAGCTACCATCTGTCACCATGTAAAGTTGTTACAATATTACCAACTATATTCCTTATGCTGTACGTTGTCTTTTTTTTTTTTTAAAGATTTTATTTATTTATTTGACAGAGACAATAGCGAGAGCGGGAACACAAGCAGCAGGAGTGGGAGAGGGAGAAGCAGGCTTCCCCTCGAGGAGGGAGCCCGATGTGGGACTCGATCCCAGGACCCTGAGATCATGACCTGAGCCAAAGGCAGACGCTTAACCGACTGAGCCACCCAGGCGCCATGGTTTTTTTTTTTTAAGATTTTATTTATTTGACAGAGAGACACAGCGAGAGAGGGAACACAAGCAGGGGGAGTGGGAGAGG